GGAACTCTGTCTCAACAACAACAGGCGTGGTGCCTGTAGCTCATTGGTTAGGGCATTGGCCACATGTCCTGGAGTTGGAGGGTTCAAACCCCACTCAGACCTTTTAAACAATGATAACTACAACAAAAAAATAGCTGGGCATTGTGGCAGGTGCCTATAGTCCCAGCTATGTGGGTAGCTGAGGCAAGAGAACTGCTTAAGCCCAAGAGTTTGAGGTTGCTGTGACCTGTGATGCCACAGCACTCTACCCAGGACAACATAGTGAGACTGTCTAATAAATAAATAAATTAAATTAAATTAAAATTAAAAAATTAAAAACAAAAAAGGCCAGGAAATAAAAGGAAAAAAGAAAAAAGGAAAATTAAAAATAGGTTAAAAAATACAATTGTAGTTATACAGGACAAATGAGTACATTTACTGACTCTGTGGCCAGGTCAGGGTGTGCTCAGTCAGGCTTGTGTCAGTGGACTCTTTGGTTATTTTTGCTGCACCCAGCACTCCAGCATATCCTCACAGCAGAAGTACTGGGCAGGTTTTTGAGGGTTTTTGTTTGTTTGTTTGTTTGTTTGTTTGTTTTTGCAGTTTTTGGCCAGGGCTGGGTTCGAACCTGCCACCTCCGGTATATGGGGCTGGCACCCTACTCCTTTGAGCCACAGGTGCCACCCAGGTTTTTGAGTTTTGACAAATATTCCCAACTTGCCCTGCAAAAAGTCATACTAATATCTCCTTATAATTAGGAAGGTAAGTTTAAGACAAATTTCAGCTGAAATGCACACAAGCATGTCAAAAGAGTGTGCACCATGTCGCCTCATGACAGTGTCTGCTGTGCTGCTGCGGGGAGTGGCATTCAGGGTGAATGTGCAGGGTGGTCCTCCTGAAGGAGATATGCATTGTTACTGAGCCTGCTCCTACTCCTCAGGTGCTCTCTGTGTGTCCCTCCAGCAGTGTTTGGGGGACAGGACGAGCACTCAGGCCATGTGGGGTTCTCCCGGTACATTGGTAAGGGTGGCCCCTGTGTTTTGGAGGCCAGTGGGGTGCATGTGGTAGGGTAGAGGGTGGACTTTCCACGGGGGGGGGGGAGGATGCTGGTTGGCACAGTGGCACTGTGTGTGCTGGGGCAGAGTTGGGGACTATCTGTAGGGAGGTGGGGTCTCCTAGAAGGTGCTGAGTCAACACCCTTGAGCTGGCTCCGGGTACAAGAGCAGGGCAGTGGGGAGATGTGGGAGGCTGCTGAGTCCTGTCGCTGACATTCAGAGTGTGATGACTTACCTGGCTAGGTGATGGCCAGTGAGCAGCTAGTGGTCAGGTCTGGTCTTCAGGCAAGAAATGCAGGCCTATGATGCCCTTTTAGGATACGGTGACCAGATTTTCTTTTTTTTTTTGAGACAGAGCCTCAATCTGTCCCCCTGGGTAGAGTGCTGTGGCATTATAGCTCACAGCAACCGCCAACTCCCGGGCTCAAGTGAGTCTCCTGCCTCAGCCTCCCAAGTAGCTGGGACCACAGGCCCCCGCCACAACGCCCGGCTATTTTTTGGTTGCAGTCGTCATTGTTGTTTGGCGAGTCCAGGCTGGGGATTCAAACCCGCCACCCTAGGTGCACGTGGCTGGCGCCCTAGCCGGTTGAGCTATAGGCGCCGAGCCAGTGACCAGATTTTAACATTAGTAAAGCGGGACACCATTGATGGGGGTGGGGTCTTAATTAAAAATTTGGTCTATATGGAGCAATAAAAATTTTCATAGAATGCAAAAATAGTATTGTAATATATATATATTTTAATTTTAACATAAGTACTGTTTACAAATAAAATGAAAAAAAAATTATGTATAGGGCGGCACCTGTGGCTCAAAGGAATAGGGTGCTGACCTCATATGCCGAAGGTGGCGGGTTCAAACCCAGCCCTGGCCAAAAAAAAATTATGTATAGTATTATTTTATTCTTTTTTTTTTTTTGAGACAGAGCCTCAAGCTGTCCCCCTGGGTAGAGTGCTGTGAGATCACAGCTCACAGCAACCTCCACCTCCTGGGCTCAAGCGAGTCTCCTGCCTCAGCCTCCCAAGTAGCTGGGACCACAGGTGCCCACCACAACGCCCGGCTGTTTTTTGGTTACAACCGTCGTTGTTTGGCAGGCCCAGGTTGCATTCGAACCTGCCACCTTAGGTGTACGCCACAACAGCTGGCTATTTTTTGGTTGCAGCCATGATTGTTGTTTCGTGGGTCCAGGCTGGATTTGAACCCGCCACCTTAGGTGTATGTGGCTGGTGCCTTAGCCACTTGAGCCACAGGCGCCAAGCCCTTTAAGAAACTTTCTGAGTGCTTCTTTTTTTTTCCATGTTACCTTGTGAAATTTCAGATCCTGTTGTCGCTTGCTGTCCTTCTTACACCCAGTTTTTAGAAGAGAAAAGCAACACATTCAGGATTTTTTTTTTTCCAGTTTTGTCTAGAACTAGGCTTGAACCCACCACCCCTGGTACATGGGGCTGGTGCCCTACTCTTTGAGCCACAGGCGCCACCCCACATTCAGGATTTTATTTACCTTTTTGAAAGCAAGGTTATGCCATCCAATCACTGGAATTTGCTGTTGCTTTCACATGAAGCCTGTGTACCTTTGAGCTAACAGTCAGTGATCCTGGGTTTCTCTTTGCTGTCAAGACCTTGGTGCTACTTTCAGACATAGCCTGTCATGGGTAGTGAGGCATTAGGGACCACAATTTCCAACTCTCCCAGTCTTGCTCCAGCTGGAGATAAAACTGCTGACACTTTGGCAGCTGCCAAACTTGGAATTAAGACTCTTCCTCCTAGCATTTCTGTCTGACATTTGCTAAAGCCCATAAAAAGTAATTGCCTTTTAAAATGGTGCATAGGGCTAGGGATTGGCTGGCAAAAACATTTGAGTGAAGGCATGAGGGAGAGATCGAAGTTACCTGTTTTTCCCCACAGGGAGGAAAGGAGGATGCAACACCTTTATTTTCCTGGGGAACAGAAAAGGTACAGTTGGGTAGTTAAATTTGAAAGAGAATAGCATGGCATACAAAAAGAGAGAGGGGCATTTAACAAGAAAAATTCCCAGAGGGGAAGATTAAAGTGAACAGGTGCTGGAAAAATGTTTCTGCATATTAGAGCTTAATTAGATTTGAAGATGAATTCCAGATGGGCTAATTATGTGTGAGTTGTTGCAGGATATTTCGTATAGGGGCAAGCATATATTTTTGGAAATGGTGATTTAGTTTGAATGTATTTGATTCTCACTGCCTAAAACCTCCTCCATTGAGAACTCTCTTCTACTGGGGCCCCAGGATCACTTGGCAGCCCTGTGTCTTTGGTATCTCCGCCAGAGCCACAGAATGTGGAGCTGTTCTGATTGCAACAGCCGCTTGTCATATGGAAGGACAAATGATCCTTCCATGGAATTAGGTATAAAGTAATTTCAACTTCAAAGGAAGGTAGACAGAACAAAACTGTGTGTTTGCAGAATGGTTGGTGGTTGGGCAGACCCCAATACCTGAAGTGAAAGTAGTCAAATCCATGCTCCCTGGGTAGCCAGTTGGTTAGATATCTCTGGACTATTTTTTCTGAGAGGGCCAAGCGGCAAGCTGTTGTGGGCAGCTCCCTAGAATGTGAGTAGAGAAAAGGAAGCCAGGGTATAGGGAAAATTGAGATGTCTTTCAGACTAGAAATTTTAATCTTTAAGCAAGGAACAGGACCATAGGGGGCCTATAGGTGTCCCTTTAGGATGGAATACTTGGTTTGACTTAGGAAAAGCTTGTAGGGATTGTCTCTGATGTCCCAGTGAGGTGTAGATGTACTGGGGTGGCCCCATGGCACCTGGCACACCTCAGGGAGATGTGCTTGGCCACCAGGTTGGTTCTTAGGGCTTCGATAAATGTAAACTTTTATGTAAGGCCTTATAATTGGAAATTATGGATGCATAATTTATATATGACTCCATGAATGATTTATATAATGTTAAGTGATGATTTAGATAGAAAATATCCCCTCTTGCAGAATCTTTAATGAAAAGCGTCAGTTCTTATGAATTTATTTCTAAGGCTCTGTTTGAACTCAGCATGTTTGACATAAATCAGGTCTAATTGTCATTTTATGATTAATGAACATATGCTGGCCGTTTTTCCCCATTATTAAACTTTATGTTCCATGCATCTGACAAAGCAAAACAAGTTTAGACTTTGACAGATTGGTGGTGGGGTTTTTCCAGGTCTGTGTGTGTGTGTGTATGTATGAGTGTGCATATCCTTATTTTATTAATGTACAAGTACTAAGTTTTCCTAAAGTCAGGTTTTCAGTGTATAAGATCTTTAAGAATTAGCATTCAGACTGTGAGACTTCAGGTGCCTATCTGGGCTAGAAGGGGCACAGGTTTTAGCCTGAGGGGAGCATAGAGCCTCTTCTTCTGCCTCTCAGAGGGCTGTGCCAGGCTAAGCACCAGGGGTGGAGGGCTGGGGGCTTTAGGGTGTCTCTGCAGAG